ATCCATCAGACATCAGCAATGATATCCTTTATTCCACATCCTCCTCTGAATCCTTGTTGAACCTCTTGAAGTCCTCTGTCACTGTATGCTTGCAGCCATTTCTGTATTACCTTTAGTAAAACTTTACTTGCATGGGATATCAAAGAGATTGTCCAGTGATTTCCACATTCTGTTGGGTCACCTGTCTTTGGAATGGGCACAAATACGGATCTCTTCCAATCAGTTGGCCAGATAGTTTGTCTTCCAAATTTCTTGGCAGAGATGAGTGAGTGCCTCCAGTGCCACCTCACTTTCTTGAAAGATTTCAATTTTTATTCCATCAATTCCTGGTGCCTTGTTCTTAGCCAATTCCTTCAAAGCACCTTGGACTTCTTCCTTCAGTATTGTTGACTCTTGATCATATGCTGCCTCTTGAAACAGTTAAATATCAACCACTTCTTTTTGGTGCAGTGACTCTGTGTATTCCTTCCATCTTCTTTCAGCCCTTCTTCATTCATGTGATAATGGAGTCCTGGTGACCCACAGTTAAGTGATCAGCTGATAACTGAAAACCACCGGCAGCTCTGCAGGAAAAAAAGACCTGGCAATCTGCTCTCATACAGATTCCAAACTAAATTAAAGTCACTCCCGAAGAGTCCATTCCAACTCAGAGCAACCTGATAGGATTGAGTAGGACTGCCCCATGGGGCTTCCAAGGCTGTGTATGTTTATGGAAACAGGCTAACCACATCTTTCTCCCACTGAGTGGATTCAAACCACCTACGTTCACTTAGCAGCTGAGTGATTTAACCAGGGCTCCACTCTGTAAAGATTAGCACCTAGAAAACCCTATGGGGTAGTGCTCAATCACCTGAGGTCGCTGTAAGTTGAAATTTGAGTCAAAGGCACCTAACAATACCAACATGAGGCTATGAGATGAAGCGTTCTTGATAAATAAAGGTAACCTAACTAGTGAAAATTTACTGTTAATACTTATCTGGAGGTCAGTTAGGTTTAATAGTTCTGAGATTCATGTGTTCATTCACAGATATATCATGATGCTGAAACAGACAGAGTAATAATTAATCTAATCAACTGTCCAAGTCTAAGTGATGATGTGAAAGTGAAATTTCTTTCTTCTTCAGTAAGTAATTTCTATCCTGTTCTTGTCTAGTCTAATGAATGATTTTAGTCTGGAATTTCTTTTACTGCAACATGAGAGATAGTCAACCCCTGGCAGGAAGGAAGAGAACACAGTAAGTCTTATCTAATCAAAAAACATTATTTTAATTTTTGAATTTTTGCTTGGTTGTGTTTTCTAAATTCTATAACACTTAATGAGCACTGGTGGCACTGTAGGATAAGTACTGGACTCCTAACCACATGATGGAAGTTCAAACCCACCAGCTGCTTTGTGGGAGAAAAATAAGCCTTTCTCTTCCGGTGAAAAGTGAAAGCCTCAGTAATCTTCTAGGTTGCTATGAGTCAGAACTGACTCGACAGCACCTAACAACAACACACAACTTAAAGGAGCCCTGGATGTACAGTGAGTAAGCATGTAGCTGCTAACTGATAATTTGCCAGTTTGAACTCACCAGGTGCTCCTCTGTAGAAAGAGATTACAGTCTGCTTCTATAAAGATTTATAGCCTTGGAAACCTGATGTTTCTACTCTGTTCTATGTTGTTGCTGTTGTTAAGTATCGTGGTGTTGGTTCCGACTCATAGTGACCCTACACAGGGTTTCAAAGGCTGCAAATCTTAACAGGAGCAGATAGCCTCATCATTCTCCCATGGAACAACTGGTAGTTTCTAACTGCCAAGCTTGAGGTTAGCAGCCGGATTCATAACCACTACGCTACCAGCTGTTCCGGGGGAGAAAGTAGGGGCTTTCTGCTCCCATAAAGATTACAGCCTCGGAAACCCTGTACTGGGTCGCTATGAGTTGGAACAAACTCCACAGCACATAACCACCACCTACCAGAGCTCCTTACTCTGTTCGATAGGCTCACTATTAGTCAGAATCAACTTGATGGCCATCAGGTTGGTTTTATACCCTTTTAGCGTAGTGGTTACGAATCGGGCTGCGAACCTTAAGGTCAGCAGTTCGAAACTACCAGCCGCTCCGCGGGAGAAAGATGAGGCTTTCTACTCCCGTAAAGATTTACACCCTTGGAAACCCTGTACAGGGTCGCTATGGGTCGGAATCGACTCGACGGCACTTCACAATCAAAATCACATATATTAATTATGAAATAAGGAGCCTGGTGGCACAGTGGTCACATGCTCGGCTGCTAACTGAATGGTCGGTGTTTGAACCCACCAGTTGCTCTATGGAAAAAAAGGTATGGCAGCCCTAGAAACAGTTCTGCTCTGTCCTGTGGGGTTGCTATGAGTTGGTTTTTGGTTTTCTCAAGTATGGAATCAGGAAAAAAAAAAAAATTAAATAAGAGGCTCAAAAAATGTACCTTTTTTACTGTATAGCAGTGTGATCTATATACTTGTTTTGTATCTTTAAAACACATTGCTCCCAATAATGTATAAAATACTTTAAAATGAGGGAGATTTTACTTTCCTCTGAATTGATTATGGTTTACAGATTTTACTTAATAATTCAGTACTTAATTTATGAGAAATAGGCATATTCCCCATTGCCTTTGGAAGATATGAGGAGGCTATAAAAGGTTCGTGGAAATTTTTCATTATCTTTTTGTCGTTGTTTTTTAAAGTTAATTTATTTCTTTTCTTATTTTGATAAAATATAAGAAGCTTACAATATATGACTGAAATAAGAATTGTGTGTGTGTGTGTGAAACTTCCATTACCTTTTTTTTTAAGTTTTTATTGTGAATTGAGTGATAGTTTACATGGGAGAACATCAGTTTTACACTCATCGTTTCATTGCAATGATTACAATCTCCTCTGTGTGTCATCAATCAACAGTATTTGCTTCTATTCCCTCTGGGGTTTGTTTGTTTGTTTGTTTTTTGGGGGTGGTGGTGGTGGTGGTGCTTGTGTACACAAAAACACTCAGGAATATGTAACCATTTAAACAACCAAAGGGCACATTCTGCAAGCCTGCCTCCTGGCTGCCAGCACTCTGTCTTTCTAAAATTACGAATTTTACGAATTTGCTTGTTGTCCTTGCGCAGGTATCAAGCGCAGGCTAATCTTCTCTGTATCTTTCCAATTTTAGTATATATGCTGTAGATCCATGTGTTCTGAGATCCATGTGTTCATTCAGATATATTATCTTTTAATTCCATTTTGTCACAAACTTTTTCAAGCCCCCTCATACACTATGGTAGATATGTTGTTGTTGTTAAGTGCTATTGAGTCGGTTCCGACCCATAGCGACTCTGTACAGGGTTTCTGAGGCTGTAAACCTTTACAGGAACAGAAAGCCTCATCTTTCTCCTGCGGAACGACTGGTAGTTTCAAACCGCTGACCTTAAGGTTTGCAGTCTGATTCGTAACCACTATGCTATCAGAGCTATATTATGTATATATTCATAATTTTAGCTTATATTGATCAGTCATATTAAATGTATGCCTGATATTATTCTGTAATAACAAATTTCTAAACCTCAATAGTTTCATTTTCCTGTCAAACCACAACTGCCAACATAATTGTGTAGGCCAATTTAAATTTTACTTCCTATGTCTTCCTTCACACCCTGATGGTTCTTTGTTAGGATAGACATTTAAGAGATTACAATTGTAAATGTGTTGAGCCAAGAGACCTAAATCATTCCCATATTGGAAGATTATCCCTTGAATAAATGGAGTTAATCTAAATTTTCTCTGGAGATCTAAACAAAAGCATGGGGTAAAGAGCATGGGAGTTCTGGTGTGGTGCTGTGAGTTAATGCACCAGACTGAAAAGCCGTTAGAACTACAAGGTTGGTAGTTCAAGCTCACCAGCTACTCCTTGGAAACCCTATACAGGGTCGTTATGGGTCAGAAATGACTCGACAGCACTTAACAACAACAACAAAAAGCATTAACCCTGGAAACTTTGGTACTATACACCCTTTGTGATTGTCAAGTGCCATGAGAGAAAAGCACTTTCAAAATATTTAGGTATTTCTAGTATTGTAATCATCAATGTTTCTGTTAAATCACGTCGATTCAGTTCCGACTCATAGGTACCCTGTATAGGGCTTCCAATGAGTAGCTGGTGGGACTGAACCACCAACTTTGTGGTTAGTAGTTCAAGTGCTTATCCAACAGTACCACAGTAGGACTCCATCATCATCAATAATCATGGCTAATTATCCAATATATCTGTTCCTTGCAGAAATTGATAGTATTTGGGAACAAATAGGCATAGGTCCTTAATAGATTCTATTTAGCATTGTCTGGATCAGTTTGAAGGACCCATACCTAAATTCCTAAATATCTATCATGGAAAAATTAAATGTTGTTGGTAATTTAAACATAAACAGCAAGAAAAGGACTAGCATTCTCTTAAAGCTTCCTTCTTTGCGTTCCCTGTGTATTGTGTTGTAGATTGTAGAATACTACATACTTAATTCTATGGTTGATTGGTAAATATGAAAGTAAACCAATAAATGAATTTTAATCACTTTGAAAAGATCAGTTCTTACTATCAATTTTATTATGAAAACTAACCTTTGTTCTTTTTATTTTTTAAATCATGTTTTTAGGATCTTCCTAGATACTATGACAACTGCCCATTTTTCTTTTGGTTCCATACATCTTTTATCCAAAATTACAGGTATGGCTATGATATAATCCAACAGAAATAGCTTAATCTCCAGTGTATGGGTATATGACAAAATTAATACAGATTGTCATAAACTCAATTTATAGAAACCAAAACTCCTCAAGTCACTGTTCTTCATTGCTTTACTCATTTTGATCCAGTTATTTTTAATTACTGGAGACCTACTTGTGTATTATATTTAAGGTCCATTCCATGAGTTGGTGTGAAAGTTAAAACATTCTATAATCAGGATTTGGTTGCGGTAATAAATGCCTCCCATAGAAGTTGAAGGTGTGTCAGCTCAGTACGTCCGGTCAGCTCAGTGAGCATATGGAAGGGACCAACAGAAAAGGGGTTGAGACTCTAATCTGGCCAGCAAGTATTATTTTTAAGCTCTAAGTAGTATTCCCTAAGGCATGACTTTACTGTTAGCCCTAAAATAAAATGTATTTGTTTTTCTATTCTTAGACTTTATCTTTCAAGAAATGAATTGGATAATCCCCATAAATCAAAAACATGGAAAACTTACCGACCAGAGTTTGCGGTAGAAGTATATTTTGAATGAGCCATACCCTACAGTTATATTGTAGCTGGTACCTCATTTTAACTATAGATATCATTGTAGCATACAATCATGTTCTTTTCTAGCCTGTGCATGTCTTTATCTTTTGTTTAAATATATATATGGAAAATTCTATGAAATATATACATTTGCTGATCTTTTTTTCTTTTTTGGAAAAACTGCAAGGTTTCCATCTTGCTATCAGATTCAATTGTAACATTGTAACAGGAACAGTAAGTATCATTTTGAAGAACTTTGAAATAATAGCACTTTCTCATATTAAAATAACTGTGATATGTAAAAATGGTGGTTTCTCCCCCAATACTGGGGACTTAATTTATTCATATGTGTTTGGAGAGATACTTTTTATGAATTTTTTTTTTTACATTTGTAGTTTCTATTTTCTTCCTCTACTTGATTTATAAACTATGATTTTTGTTGTTAAATGTTTAGCTATAAGAAACATCAGATTGACATTAAAGACTAAGGTTGAAACCCAGAGAGGAGGACTATTTCAGACAAGCAGCACTCTTCTCTCACCTCCACCCGCACGTTTCATGGAGTTCCAAGCACCACGTGGGTTGCTTACATGGCAATTCTCCTTTAATTAGACACATGCATCTCCATGAAAAGTAAAAGGGTCTTGATAAGCATGAAGGGGAAAGAATCTTCAGCAATTTCTGCTTTTGTATATCATCCTAAAAGAAGTTTTAAAGATCTATTTGCTATTAGAATAATCTAGACATTTTATATTAGCACCTACCAACTCTAATCCCACTAAAATGCACTGTACACAACCACCTTTACTTAGGATTGGAGAGCTACCTTTTCATTGTAAACATTTGTTAGTCTTATTCCTTTTGTTGTTGCTGTGGAGTTGATTCCAACTCTTGACAAACCCCTGGTGTGTGTCATCGTTTTCAATGGCTATCGTCTTTCCAAAGCAGACCACCAGGTCTTTCTTCTGAGACCCTCTGGGAAGACTCAAATGCTCACTCTTTTGGTGAGCAGCTGGGCGTTTGAACTGTTTATAACACCCTGGGATTCCTTGTCTTCTTCTTTGTTGTTGTTAAATGCTGTAGACTTGGTTCTAATTCATGACGACCCTGTATAGCGATTCTGAGGCTATAAATCTTTGCAGGAGCAGAAAGTCTCATCTTTCTCCCAGGGAGCTGGTGGGCTGAAACCACTGATCTTGTGGTTCTCAGTTCAAAATTTATCCTACAGATTCACCATGCTCCCTCTTACGTCCTTGGGGAGTCATTAATTTCACTTTAGAACTGGCTGCTCCTTCATTTTCACTGTATTTTAAGGTCAAAATTGAAATTAGCCTTATTGGAACAATTTTTCCTTTATTGGTAAGGAGCTCAACAATCTAGACTAAGTGGAAGTCACCAAATAAAAGGTATAGCAACTAATAAGAACTGTGGCTCTGCTAAAAACACAATATACACATTCCTGAAAAATTCTTCCAAACCAAAACGAAAACTACTGCCATTGAGTTAGCTCTGACTCATAGCAACCTTATAGGTCAGAGTAGAAAAAAACCTTGCTGCAGCATATTCTCAGTACTCAAAAAGGTGAAGCAACTCAAGTGTCCATCCATAGACAAATAAACAAAATGTGGTCTGTCATGTACAGTGGAATATTAGTCCCCTTAAAAGAGAAATGAACCTTGAAAACATTGTCCAAGTGAAATATGCCAGACACTGAAAGATGCATATTATATGAGTTCCCTTATCTTAAATATGGGTAAGGGACAAATTTGTCAGGACAAAACATGATTAGTGGTTACAATGGTTGGAAGGGTGAAGGTGTTTTTGTTTTGTTTTGTTTTGTTTTGTTAATAGTCATGTTGGTAGCAAGCTGCAGTTTTATGGATTGAAAACATCCCTTTCCTCTAAATTGTTGTTAAGTGCCGTCCGGTTGGCTTCAACTCATACCAATCCTATGTAAGTTTTCTGAGGCTTTATTTAAATCTTTGTGGGAGCAGAAAACCTCATCTTTCTCCTGCTGAGCAGCTGGTGGGCTCGAACTGCCAACCTTCTTGTTTGTAGTCCAGTGCTTATTATACAGAGCTACCACACTCCCCTAGCTATAGTTGGGAGACAGCTGAAAATAAAGCAATAAACAACTTTGTACTTTGCAAAAAAGCACACACTAAAAAAAAAACAAAAACAGAAAGAGTTTGTGGGACTAAAAATAGGGTTTGCTGCAGATCATTCCAACTAAGCAACTTTGTAACTAATGAATTTATCAAAAAATGGCCTAGACCACTTAAGTTGGCAGCTCAGAATGTCTGGATATTGCCACAATGGGTATTAACAAAAAAGTGGAGATTCAACAATACTTTAATTGTAAGTTCTATCTATTTTGGCTCCTCTCAGAGGAAAATAAAAACATATAGAACATACTTTCAAGATACTTCCACACTATTACTAGCATTACTCCGCATATGTATGTATATGTATACATGACATTCTGTAGTCTGTGTTATAGAAATGTGTTACAGCAAAACAAGTTGAACAAAAAATTCATGCAGCGATCATCCACAGGGACTGCGATAGGTTTCAATGAACAGGGGGAAAAACTTCGCTGGGTTAGTGAAGAATGGTGTTGGTGGTGTGCCGTGGAGTCGGTTCCGACTTAGAGTGAGCCTGCATAGAGTTTCCGAGGCTGTCAATCTTTAACGGCACAGAAAGCGTCACCTTTCTCCCGCAGAACGGCTGGTAGTTTCTAACCGCTGACCTTGATTAACAGCCCGACTCATAAACACTACACTACCAAAGTTCTCTTTTTCAATACTATCGAGAAGAAGGGAAAGAAAACCCAATTTTCATTTGAATCTTGGTTTTTGACAGAGAATTTACAACCGGGGTTTCTCCTTACTAATCCTTCATAAAAATTTCTAACAAGCCACCCTTCTTTCTGCTTTTGCTTACACAAAGAATACTTTTAAAAGCTTCTTGAGGTATTGCTTTCTTTGAATCCAGTGTGAATATTACTTTGAACGACTTGAAAAACTTACAACATAGTGTATCAGAATGACACTGGATTCCTTAAATAGAATTTTCTAACTCAGGATAGAATTTTCCAAAACTCCATAGCTAACAGTTCATTTTATAACAAATAGAATGACGTCCAGACAAATCCGTCACATACCATCGACACTGTGGTGGAGGTAGAGTCAGTCTAGTGAGACAAGTTCACAGCTGCAGTGCAGATAAAGAATATGCATTTATGTTGTAAGAGAGATTTTCTGTAACTCTTCACCAAAGTAAAATGCCTGAACTAAACCCATGTTTCTGTTGCATTCTGCAAAATTAAAATCAAAGTTAACTATGCGTATGCTTTAGGCTCATTATCTGACTAGCAACCCTGGGTGGTTGTTGTTAAGTGGTGCCAAATTGGTTCCAACTCATAGCAACCCTGTGTAGGGTTTCTGAGAAGCAGCTGGTGGGTTTGAACTGCCGACCTTGTGGTTCACAGTCCAGTGTTTATCCTACAGTGCCACACCAGTAGTCCAGCAGTTATGGGTAGCTGGGAATATATTTTCTCTGCAATCAAGCTAGAAGCATATCAATTAACTATTTTTCAAACTCCATGAATACATTTTTCTATCATATGGCCTCAAGAAAACTTTCTTTCATTATAAAGATGCAAAAACATCCTTTTAATGAAAGGTCTCAGGAAAAAAAACCTTCACACCACTCTTATTGGGGTTTTCCAGGCAACTGTTTACAAGAAAGATTTCATTAGAGCAAGTTTTTTCTAAGAGAGCATTGTCTTCTAACTAATCCCCTGCTAGCCCCCACATTATATTGATTTACATTTATAACCTCCAATGAAGTTTATAACCTTCAATGAAATGCTGTACCTTAGGTTCTTTGTTCTAACTCCTTAAATATGTGGCGCTGTAGGATCAACACTGGACTGCAAACCACAGGTCAGCCGTTCAAACCCACCAGCTGCTTCTTGGAACCCTTACACAGGGTTGCTATGAGTTGGAACTGACTCAATGGCACTTAACAAAACAAAGCTCTGTACTTTTGGTTTTGTCAGTTTCAACTCAGTGGAGCACAAGTCCCCCATTTAAATGGATCTTTAAAAAGCTAAATACATTCTCTGAATTTCCTTTTAAGGTTTGAGTGGTTTTTCACCACAACATTTTGGGGGCTTGTCCATGATTCAAAAGTGGCTTCCCTCTTGAGTGGACCCAAGGAATCATGGATTGGAGTATTGGTGTCAACTTAAAAGTCCATTTCTGCTTCTTCAAGGCCTCAGAGACAACTATTTCTGGAGGTGAGCCATTCTTGGATTTGAACTTTCACTAATTGTGTTCAAATTCTCTGAGAATTTATTGAACGTCTATATAATTTCTATTCATAATTTGAACATTATGTGTAGCTCTGTTTATTGATTCTCATCATCTTGAATTGGTAAGGGGATCATGAATTAGTAAAGTAAATAGTCATTTTTTTGAATAGGTCACCTGAATTAAGCATGTTTATCAGAATCTAGAGGGATTCCTATCATAAAATAACTGGAGAGAAGTTCTCTCTTTTATAATAGCAATTCTAAGACGCTAAAGGGTAACAACAATCATAGGGAGATATATCTGAAATGGCCTAGGAAAATGTTGACACTCTAGCTAGAGACATGAAGTTATAACCATTTCAATAAATCGGTTGGTTAAGCAAATACTGTGATTTCCAAAAATTAAAAGGACTAAAATTAACTTGGACAAAATATAAAAAATGGTAAAAATATTCATGAAAACTTAAAATACATAAACTTTATGTCAACAGTAATTGTTGTATAACATTGGCTTACAATAATTTCTAATATCTTTAAACAATTTACTGATATTGAGTTAACATTCTTTATACTCACTTGTATTTATGCCACACCCCAAAAAGTAGGTTTGCTGATAAGTGTGTTCATTATTACTACTAAAATAATTACACAAAAGACAAAGTTTAAAATGTTTATTTTAAAAGAAA